TTACTGTTTTGCAAAACTTTAAGAAACTTAGACAAGATTAGATCTTATTGGTTTATTGATCTCCTGCAGGAAATTTGGTCCTTGCAGTAGAATGATTGATATAATACTGCAAGGGAATGGGGAACAGGAAAATGTAATACAAACACAAAATGCATATTATATAAGGTAATACTTCTTAAGCCAACTATTAATGCACTAAGAAGGTTAGGGAGATGTGGGGTTACATATGGATTTCCTGTAAATTCTCAAATAGTAGCTAAGGACCTATCTAGCAACAAGAACACATCACTTTCAGAGAATAACATGAAGGAGGGGTGTGTTTACCTGAACTCTAAGGGTTCACACTGTAAATTCAGAATAGGGAACAGAAAGGGGAAGGATCATGCCCTTTGAGCCACTTGAAGGGTTTAAATATGAAACCGTGGACATATAGGAAGTGCTGAGTTTCATGGACAGTAGGTCAAAGTTGATTAAAAGACTAAGTTGAAGCAACTGACAGTAATAAGGGGTAGGCTATATGGCCCTGAAGTAATATCATGATATTTCAGGGTATTTTTGCGATAACGATATTCTTGACGATATGACACATTAGTGAAAAAATATTTTATTATTAATTTCAGAACATAGAATTGCAACAAAATAAGTGATATAGTTTTACTTATCAACAGTTTGCCTTCAAATATACAGTAAAAACTAAACTAAAATGATCTCTCATTTCTTTCATTTGTGAACAACAACAGTAACTCAGAGTGGGATTCAGATTTTGTTTACAATATTAATAATACAACAAAATAAAATCTGCTACAAATTACACATTTAAACAGTTCTCAAAAAATGTACCCTGGGATCTGTATATATAAATCAACGCGTGATTTCCTTATCTTTTGGAAAAATCTTAGGTCAATGAGTTGTTCCCACCTGGACCTTTATGCTCTGCCATTTCTCCTCTAACCATCCCGCTATTACGTGTGACAGGCTGTAATGCTGCAATAACTATTGCACATTCACATTCGCATGTCGTTTTTTATCGTCACATAGGTTTATTTACCAGAGGTTTATGACAAAATCACTTGACGACACTGACTCTTGTGTGCGCATGGCGAGAGAGGAGAGGGAGGAACACTGTGCTGCTGCCAGAGGAGCCACTGAATGAGTTCCCTCTGAGCAATGATTTGCTAAAAGAGTCTGAGAAATCCAGGGCTGTTCATTAAACATTCAGGACACCACAGTCTATTCTATACTACTGAAGCTGCTGCTCTTTTTGGAACCACTTCAGCGTTGGTAATAAATTTGCTTTCAGTCATGCCTGGTGTTGCCGTGGGTAACAGTATGACATAAATACGTCAACAAGTCAAAATATTGCGAGTATCACAATATGAATTTTAAAAATGGCCATTCATATCACAATATTGATATTAAAAATCATACCAGTATTATCATGAATTAGGTGACACAGCACATCACTATCAGTAAGTAGTAAATAAAAACTGTGTTTCTGTAAAAGAAAAGAGCAGCAGAGTTACAGCTGTTTGTTTTATGGGGTTACAAGTCAAAAAGGTTGGGGACCCCACATATAAAGCAATGTCTATTTGCTACCCAATTTGGGGGTGGGGTGGGTGTGGTAGGCACCAGGGAAAGCTTGCCTAGGCTGCCCAATATGCTAGGTTTGGCACTGCTGCCCCTTGTCACAGATTGTATATGCCTAAGAGTTGTGAACACGTAGCCAAAGATAAAGTTTTCCTTTCCAGATTAATTTATTAGAATCGTTTTTAGAGCACCTTTAGAGGAGCTAAAATGATTCAGTAGTTCTCATGGAAAAAGAAAAGATTAGAGCAAAGACTGGAAAGAAATATATTTTTTCTGTCTGCTTTTATATTCTGTTAATCATCTTCTGTTCCCTGAGATTGTTGCAACCCTTTGGAGTTGTCCCGATCCCCAGGTTGATTTAGTGATTTGCCAGATTATTAAAAATGTGCTATGTATAAAAGAAATATATATTGTAAATATGAAATGGCCTACAGCAAATCACGATTAATATATGTCTAATGACATGATGAATGCATAAAAGACATCTCTTATCTATCATCTCTCTACTGAGAAAGAGAAACACATGCAGACAGTTATGGTGAAAGGAAAATGGAATTACTAAAGAAATGTATGTGTATTTGAATGAACTTAACTACATGATATATACATGTTTGTCATGTTCACATTAACAAGCTGACACAGTGCCAGCCAGGATTCACTCATTTGAAAAGAATGGAGTTTGATGCCAACCTGTGTTTGTAACTGTTCAAGGTTTTACTCCCCACTGCTGCTCTCTGCTGAGGTTCTCCTCTCAGACTGTTGTTGGCTGCCCACACCTCAATGTGACCAGCCTTTATGAATAAAACATGGCTAGATCCATGATGAAAAAACATATCCATTTTGCTGAATACAATATTTGGAGCATGTGGAATGGCTCCATGCTGAGTCTGCATTTTCTCTGCAGGTTCATTGGTTACTTGGAATGGGAGGTGACAAACGAGATCATTCACAGAGCTTGGTATTTCACTTATGTGAGCTATGCATTTGGCCAAGGCTGCAGTTATTTTACTAGATTCTTCTGGAGATATTTCTTGTCACACAGCAGAATCCAGCAGGCCACATTTGTTAACGTTATATTTTTGAAGCTTCTTGTTCAGATATGGGTTGATAGCATAGTGTGTTAATAGAAGTGGACATTACCACCATGATGTCACCCACTGGCTTGGAGTACTGCTTTGGCATTTTGGCAGTCACCATTTGTATTTGTAGAGACAGAAGTGACCATATTTGGATGAGAGGGCGGAGCTGTGAATTGACAGATTGCCAAGGTAACGACTTGTCAATCACAAGGTAGCCAATCCCTAAAGCATACCTTGCTGTATGTTCTATAATACTCTAAATGGGACCATAACTTACAAAATGAACATCAGTCTGTATTGAAGAAGACTCGTAATCAGTGAATGAGGCCATAAATTCATTAGGAAAAGATTCACTGAGATAATACATCAAATGAGAAGTGGTGTAAGGCACTTTCGCATTGGCTTCAATTTTCAGATCTGGACACTACGTTCACTTTTTTTATACAGGCTCTGGTTGATATCCAAAGCTGTACTATGGTGACTTCAGTGTCCTGCTGTTTCCTTTTTTCTTTATAGCACATCAAAGTGATTTCTATCAGGCCAGTAAAAGCAGCTTATGGAGGTGATGCAGCAGTTTGTGTGACTGTATGCATGGAGATGGTGAAGGGCCAGAGAAGCTTTTTCCTGTTCTGTATCCTTCATGTGATGAATGGTGCGGGGCACAGATTCAACAGGACCAGATACTTATAAAAGGACACAGAGAATTACAAACAGGACACAGTAGCCACCTTCAGGCCTTCATTAAACACTAAACTGACTGCACTGGCCACTAAGAGACTGCTGCACAGGGCAGCAGGAAGAATGTTAGCATATCAGTGTTTAGGAGGCAGCCTGTCCTCATTGGAAAGACATTAGTATTGGCCACTTGTTATGCCTCTGCACTGGCAGTAGCTGTGGCTGGAGGCATTACATTTTTGGGCTGTCTGTCTGTACAAATGGCTGTCTGTCCTGTTCTCCTGAACACAATATCTCAAGAATGCTTTGAGGGAATTTGTCACAAACATCTACTGAGACTTAACGATGAACTGCTTAGATTTTGGTGGTCAAAGGTCAAGGTCACTGTGACCTTCCGTTAGTCTCATTCTCATTAATATGATATCTTAAGAACTCCTTGAGGGAGTTTCCTCAAATTTGGCACAAGCATCCACTTGAACTCAAGAACATGAGAGAATTTGGTGGTCAGAGGTCACTGTGACCTCACAAAACATGTTTTTGGCCATATCAAGAATTAATATGCTAATTATGACACAACTCACACAAATGCTTAAAACGATAAAATAATGAAGTGATGACATTTTATATCCGAAAGGTCAAAGGTCAACTTCACTGTGACATCATAATGTTCTGCAAATACACTTTTCTGGCCATTGCTTGACATCATAGCTCCGGAACAGAAAAGGAAATATTTGGTCAGGTACTGAATTAGTGACACTAATCTTGGGTGTCCACAATGAAACTATGCTGATTGTATAAATCTTCTGTGCTGCCGGGGGGGAAGATGTGTGAGAAGCATTCATGTTTTCACAGACATGGATATAAACTGTAACTGCAACTAGACTGGTTCACAAGGCATAGAACTGCGAGCCGGTAATTCACACACTTGAAATTAACTTATGTTTATATTTTCCAGTAAACTAATCTCTTGTGATTTAGCAAATAATGACTGATGTCTTTCAAAAACAGTTGAGCATTTGGGTGGCTTGGGTGGGCAAAACTTTTTACAGCTCTGTGATTATAATTATTACTTAAAAGGCCATTAGAAAATACCAGTCCCAGAAAAACTAACCCACTGCTAGCCTCTTTGTTAATACTTTCTAACACTTGCACTTTAACACTAGCAGACTTCAAAAAGAATTGGGAGAAAAGCAGTGGAAAACATAATGTTAAATGAGATAGATCTCACATGATTATTGTATGTACCCTGTGTGATTTCCTAATTTACATTAGGAAAACTTGCCTTCACTTTATATACGTCCCAGATTGCATATTTGTCTTTTCTTTCTTTTTTTACTCCTCTCTGTACTGCTTCATGTTTTTTTTCATTTTGTCTCTTTGCTTATGATGTAAAATTTGTTCATAAATAAAAAGTATAAAGAAAAACACCACAGTCAGCAGTTAAAATCTTATCTCAACGCTTGCTCTTTCGATCTCTCCCTAACTTTAACCGTTTTAGTTTCTTTAACTTGAGCAGACCTTAATCATTGAGGCGAAATATCAGAAAATGTTCACATAAATAATTACTGTAACAGTTATATTTTTAGAAGGCACTGAAGAAACACTGCTATTTGTTGAGCAGTAAAATGTTAAGATGTAAGATGTCTCTTGTGTTCACAGAAGCCAGCCAGCTAAACATCTACGGGGCCCCCATGAGGTAAGCAACCAACTTCATCTCACAAACTACAAAGCAACATGATGAATCTTCTCAGCACAAAACCTTTAACTCAGAACAGAACATTCCATATTAGACAAGCAATTTAAGGATATCAATCAACAATAGTGGGAAATTAAATTCTAGACATTTAATTACAGCCATATCATCTGCATCGAGTTTACCTGTCTCTCTACTCCCTGTACTGCAGGAATGTGCGTAAGATGACACTGAGACAGTCCGATTCATCAAGTCCAGAGTCAGGCTTCAGGAGGACCAACCCCAGCCCTAATTTGAGGCAGAAGAGGGGTGAGAGAACACTTGTTAACTGAGAACAGACACCAACCCAAAAAAAAAAAAAAAAAAAAACCCTCTTTGTAAAATGTCCTTTTTTTTGTCCTGCAAACACAAACATCTCCCATTCCCTTTAGAGGAAGTGTAAAAATTAACTATAGATGGAAACCTTCAGGTTGCAGATTGCATCCATTGTTGAGTTTACTGTGGCAACATAGTGTAGAGAGAAATCAAAGGCTAGGTGAGACAGAGAACCACCTCGTGCCTTTCTATCTACAGTATCTATCAGCACTTTGTTGTCCAGCTTGCTCCCTTCATGCCTCCTTGTGTCTTTTTAGGTTCCTTCCATTAAATCACTATTTTTTACATAGACCAGAAATGCTTATCCCAAATTTACACCACAGTCAAGAGGTAGATGAGCGCTGCTGTAGCGTCTGTCATTTAATCCACACTGACTCCAACATCCGTTCCGAACCAGCTGTCCTTTTAGCTGCACAGCTGTCATGTGGTGCTTAAAAGTCAGCAGCCAGTGCCAGCCACAAGTGTTTTTACCAGGCTGATTAATGTCAGAAATACCATCACCACCACTCATCTGTTCAGTCAAGTAAATGGTTGTATAGAGGTTGACAGGTAGGAAATGGGTGTTGCTTTTACTTATTGATTCTAGCCGCACAAAGCTTCAAATGTCCACAGTGTGACCACAGTGACTTGATGTGGAGAGAGATGGCATACAGGATGGAAGAGATGGGGAACAAAACAGACTACAATCAGGCAGTAACCAGATAAAAAAAAATCTAAAATATGTCTCTTTAAAACCACACTGCTGCTGTCCTCAGAGGCTACAGTTTCAACTGCAACTGTGGTTAAGATTAAATCCAGTTGTGTGCCTTAAAGGGATAGTGCACCCAAAAATGAAAATTCAGCCATTATCTACTCACCCATATGCCAATGGAGGCCCTGGTGAAGTTTTAGAGTGCTCACATCCCTTGCGGAGATCGGCGGGGGGAGCGGCTAGCACACCTAATGGCAGACGGCGCCCCAGACTAACGTCCAAGAACACAAAATTGAATCCACAAAGTATCTTCACACTGGTCATCCATAGTGATCCAAGTGTGCTGCAGCCGTGACATAAAAAGTTGTTTCGAAAAACATCATATGAACTCTGTTTTTAGCCTCACTGTAGTCTGTAGCTCTGACTGCTTCTCTGTGCTCACCTGGGCTTCCGTCGGCATATGGGTGAGTAGATAATGGCTGAATTTTCATTTTTGGGTGCACTATCCCTTTAACACCACTAGAGTTCCCTGTATCTGAAGTTTAAAAGAAACCTGTTACACACCTTGTTAAACAGAGATCCATAGAGTCCAGTTGAAATGCAGATTTCTCCGGCTCAGATCATCCTTTGAATTTCAAATAGTTCAAATCTTTCAGCATGTATGATCTTGTGAATGCAACATAGAGAGTCAAACAAACTGTAATAGTGTAATGACATTTAAAAGGTGTCACATATGCCTCAGTTGATTTGAGGCTCTAGAAAGATGATTATCTGTCAAATGTGTCAGGGTTTTTTTTCCACAGAAACACACAGAGAGTGAAACAGAATGTTGAGCTCACCTCTTCAAGATGGTCGTACCAGGCTAATTTAAGCAGATATACTGATGCTGTGTGATGCAAGTGATTTGAGCGATCACATGCTTCTCACTCAGACTACATCTACATAAAGCCATCAAAATTTGAAGACATTTTTGTGTGAATACGACTTCTGTCCATATTAGCAGGTTTCGCTGTCCACAGTGAAAACAGCTAAATTTCTTCTCCGCCCTCTTTTCAGTTGGCAAACAGCAAATGTGCACCTCAGCTAACAACTGGTAAAGCATGAAACAGACAGTAAAACTGATCTAATCATTATTTCATCATTGTGACGTTATCTGGCAAAATCTGTTTAAATGGAGAGATAAATATACATTTAAAAATGTAACCAGCTTAAGGCCCAGACACACCAAACTGACATCAAAGAACTAGTGCTGATGAAGACCGACTGTTATTTTGCCTCACATTGCCTGTGTCTCGGCCCAAAGGTTGCACATAAACACACTGCAAAGACTACAGCCAGTGGCCAACCAGCATGTACAATCTGCTCCTGTATAAGAGGAAATAACTCTCCATAGCAGAATCTATTGGTAGTCTGATTTCATCAGTAAAAAAGGGAAACTGGAAGACTGACACTATGGATTAAAGACATTAGTTAGCAAGTGAGCACATTAACAAGGCAACTTGATGTTGAAAGAACAAAAATGTGTACCCTGCTCTGGCAAACAACAACAAAACAAACAATTACTGTTTCTGCTAAAGAGATCGATGGCTAAAGAAAAATAATCTTATTTTATGTAACAAGTCTGCCTTTCGCACTTTGTTTACTTTCCTCACTTGCCTTTCTTTTCTTGTGCTCTGAACTGAACTGCCAATCAGAGTGATGTCATTCATCAATGGGCTCTGTCATCTCCAAAGCCAATTCAATATGCTGAATTGGCCAGAAAAAAGCCGACAAGGGCCGACTAGTGACAACCATGAAGACACACTACCAAAACCAGGGAAACAGACATTCACACATGGCCCGATGCTGATTAACAGCGGACTGTTGGCGTGGTGTGTCAGGGCCGTTAAGGCAAATGTACTCTCAGAGTCAAAATAGATAAGGATCTGTTTCATAAAATCTTACATGAAACATTATAGACGCCCTTCAAAAAACACTGAAGCTGTGGATTTCTCCTCAGCGTTTGGTTTATATTTTGTTTAAGAGAAGCTGTAAGCTGTGAGCTCACTCATACTTTGTGTCTTTGCTTTCTCCTTTTTTTTCCACTCCACCCCTGGTCTAATTAGGATTGGCTTTGTACGCTACACACATAAACACATACACACTCTCCTCTTTCAATTCCTACTGCCTGTACAAAGGTAAAGGTTAGGGACAGTTGACCGTGGCTGTTGTTTTTGGTCTCACCCCTCAAATGGGTGCCTGGCCACTATTACAAAACCAACTGTCCAAACCCCCTATCCATTCACACATCCTCCTATTTTCCATTTCTCTCTCTTTCTTCTCTGTCTCTTTCTCTTATACTCTGTTTAGCTCTCCTTCTGTCACCCCTCCTGCCACTCCTTTTCTTTCAGTCCTCTCACTGTCCATCTGTCTTCTCCACTTTAACATTTCATTTCTCCTCTGCTCTCTTTCTCCATTTTTCCTATCCCCTCTCCCTTGCCTCGCTTCATTCTTTCATCCCCCCCACCCCTCCTTCATCTCGGTTCTCCTCTTTGTTTCTCTTGATGATGCATTACTGGTCCACAACTATAGCACAGTTGCCATGACATACACACAGACACACTAAGCTGACAGCAACACTGACATCTCAGTACTGGCCAGCTGCTCCGCAATGATGATTAACACACATACACACACGTGCATCCTTGATGTGTCAGTATTTGTCAGATTATTCAGGAAGTGTTGGCTTGTCAGTTTGTACCAGACATGTGACGCTGTGTGTTTGTGCCAAAGGTGTTAATTTTTCCAGTCTGGTGAGAAGGAATGGAATTTCAAATATCATTTACACCTGATATTAAAGTGTGATCTGCATCTGGAAATACTTTAACAAACCATGTGGTTAAATCCTGTCTCACACTAATGATGTTCCAGCCGATGGTGTGTCTGTTAAACCTGAGCTGTGCAGAAGGTTCATCTATGACACTGTGCCAGTGAGGTATTTTTCAGCCTGTATTTATTTACATTTTGGCAAATTAGCATAAGTGAAGGGATGCTAAATTATTTATTAGCAGTTCATGTGACAACTAGAATTATAAGGAGCATGTTTTCTCTTATGATTTCTAAGTGAACATTTATCCACGATGAACATCACAAACCTGAGATGCAACATGTTCCAGTTCCATGTTGTCAAATACAGACACTTTTTCATCCCAATTGCTGTATAATGTCAATGCAGAATGCACCCTTTGGGGGGATTATTCCATTGTGTTGGAGCTCTTTGTTTTGAGCCTGGACTGTGGGATGTTTAAGAGCAGTTGGTCAGACAATCTGAGTGATCTTGTTTCAGAGTGTTGGGTTATGAGTTCAGAAATATAAGAGGGTGGCATGGAGGGGCTTTGAATGTTATCATGAGGATCTTGAATTGAATCCTGAGGTGTACAGGAAGCCAATGTAAGTGAGCCAGAATGGGGGTAATTCACTGTCTTTGTTTAGTGTTTGTTAAAAGCCTGGCTGCTGTATACTGAATCAACTAGTCGGGCAATTGCAGACTCAAACAAGACAATAAGAAGTTACAGTAATCCAGGAAGAAAGAGATAGAGGCACGGATGATCTGCTCCATGGTGCTCTTTGGCAAGGCTGAACTGATTTTGGCAATATTTGAGTTGCAAATAACAACACTGGTTTGACCATCACATTTCTCAATGTGATGGTCAGAATTGATTTTGATCCAACACAACACCAAGACTTCTCTCAGATGGTTTAAATTCCCCGTTAAATACACTGTAAACCCCAATTCATTCAGTGTAGTAGAATACAGTAACATAAAAGTTTTCAATACATCAGACACAAAATAATTGTGTCACATGACATTTGTCTGACAAGAATTTTATGTCAGTTAACATAACTTTTTTTGTTGTTGTTTGAGCATTTAGTTCTATGTCATATGAACATAAAATCATTGAGTGCACGTTTAAAAACATTTGGTGGAGTCATAGATGGATTGGGGTTGACAGTGTGTTTGAGGTAAATAAGTATGTAACATGATGTAAATACCTCATGTGAGTGATATAAGTATGGATGGACGTAAGTTTGCGTGTGTTTGTTTGACCCATTCTTCTATATTAAGACTTTCTCAGTCTTTATACTACGTCAGTTGCTCTTAGCATCAGATATTTCAACAGGTGGGTTTAATTTGGAGTCAATTCAAATCCTGGTGCACTGATATAATTGCCAAAGAGTGGCTTTGGTGTTGCTATCACACACC